ATGATGATGATGATGATGATGATGATGATGATGATGATGATGATGATGATGATGATGATGATAACACGTAACTTATAAAGCAAAACATGCTATTAACAACAGAAAGCGAGTAAGTGAAGAACAAGTATCAGTGCAACATGTGCAAAACACATATAAACAGCAGGGTATTCAATGATTGATCAAGGTGTCCAGGTGTGTAAAAGAACAATCTGCCTGTCTGTGGGTCCTAAGGATTGGGTGCTAAGTACGCTTTCAACTGCCGCATAACTGTTCACTTTGAAGGTGGAAGTCCATTGGCATTCAACGCGGAGGCCATGATCCATTAGTTGTATGTATGAAGTGATGATGACCTTTTCCGCAAAATTCAAGCAATCTATACAATATATATATATATATGTATTTATTTATGTGATTCATGAAATCCAAAGAAAACACTGAAAAAACACATTAACACTGGATCCCTTATCAACTTGAAGATTCGATGGAACTTCCGGTGGAGCCAACGAGTCATAAGTTTGGACCTTAATCTTCCTCGCATTCCAAGAAACACATAGTAAGAAGTACATATAACATCTATAAAACAAAAAGTGTCTCCGCCGCTGACGCGCCCCACCTCATACTTCCCCCCCCATACTTCCACTTCCTTCCTTCACTTTCTTCCTTTTCCACTCCGGGACCATGGACCGAATTCACCGGCGCCTCAGCTCTCCGAACATCAGCTCCTCCGGATTCACCGGGCTGTCGCTCCCGATGATCGCCGGCGTGTCGCGGTGCCCGTCCTCGTCCTGCGCGTGGTGGAGCGGGCGCAGCGCGCGTTGGGCGCAGCGGGAAGGGTTGGCCACGGGACTCCAAGCAACACAAAGCAAACCAGTCGGGCAAACCAGGCACCCTAAACAACTTCGTAGCAATCCTGCAGAAACTTCCTTTCACATAGCTATAGATCTTAGAAATCAACACCAACACCCGACACCCGACCTAATAGGACACACTCACCAACCAATTCCACAGCACGAGTCCAAATGCTTCTAATATCAATTGTAACTGAACACCAAAACCATTTCTGCGTCTACTCCTCATCCACGACGGAGTCGCGAGTCGAGAGTCGACCCCCGTCGTTCGACCCCACGGTGCCTGGACCAGCTCCGACGCATCGAAGCAAGGATTATCGAAAAAGACCACGTCCTGCGGTGAAAGATCAAACGGGTCACCGGGTGATCTTCTCAAACGGGTGTGGAGATGTGGTGTGATCGAGTACCGGGTGAACGGGGTATTTCGCGCGCGCACGGGTGGAACTGGGAAATAGATGGAAATAGGGTGTCGGATCAAAATGCATCTGGCACCTGTTTGCACCAGGTAGAACATGAATATCAATAAAATCCATGAGGCAACATATGAAACAAAGATATGATATTATGTTGGATGCCTTTGGACTGAACCAAAATGAAACACACTCCAGTTAGCAGAAAAGAGTCTTCCACGTCTTCCACGTCTATTTTGGATAAAAGTACTGGATCTATTCGGCAACAGGTGTCTTGGATGTAAAAAATGAAACAACAAAAATGCTTGGAACCCTCGATGTCAGCTTCAAGCCACATAAGAATTACCTAGCGGCCGAGCGCTGCTATTTTCTGATCTCTAATCGTTCCTACCTGACCCCTTAGTTCACCTTTTCTGGAGGGTGCAAAAGGAGGCTCTTTGGAGTGGCTGACCAATTTTGTGCCGGGAATCCGAAGATTTGCATCCGAGCAAAGGTAAAGTTTGTGCTGAAGGTCAGTGAATGTTGACCCTTAAATCAGAACCCACCCGTGATGCGAACTATTTGAATCCATACTTTTTGAATCAACACTCATTTGGGAAGAGGCGGTCCTCTATCTTCGTTCCCCACCCAGAAACGGCAATAAGTCACAATTGTGAATACCCTAGCCACCCAAGTTGATGGGTGTCCCTTGTTCAAGGCAATGTTGTTCATTAATGTTCAGTATTTTCGGATACCCAAGACAAAAAGGCAGTTTTGAAGGGAAGCTAGTTGGCACTCTTTCAGGGGCAAAGTAACTATCTATAACCAAGCACCGCTGGGACTGAAACAGTACAGCATGAATACACGACAAATCCATGTAGGTATCTCCTTGACACCATCCTCCTTGGGTCCCCTTTAAGACATGACCCAGAATCCTAACATCTACGCTCAGAAGTTGAATCTGTTGTCCACCAAAAAGCAGCGCACTGCTTCAAAGCAAACTATTGTTCCCACTACCAAACATCTGATGTCCATATCATATATCCCCATCTTCTTTCTGGGACTAATTGTATAACTCCTTTTTAATCCTTCATGTCCACAAATCACCTTAAAGGCATCCACCGAAAAGAACTTGATCACTGCCAAAAACCGTGCTGCGATGTATGTCATGGTTCAACCTGTTGATTCCTCGGTCTGGCCGTCACTTAGGCCGTCACCGGTCTGTCACCGGTCACGCTTCGCGGTCTGTCTCGGTCGCACCGGTCCGCCGAGGCAAAGCCCACGAGGCCCTGCGGCCGTGCAAGACTGGCGCCATTGGTAGACCGGTGGAGGCCGTTTTTGGGTTGGGTTGGTTTGGTGTTTTTGATATATGTTTTACAAGTTCTTCATAAACTATACATAACTTGATATGATATGATGGTTAAAGCCGGACATGCAGAGTTGTAGTCTGACATGGCCATTGGTCAATGCTCAAATGGCATGTTGGTGGCAAAACAAAACCAAAACAGAGTTAAAACACCGGCAAAGGGCACCCTAATAGGATATATAACGGTACAGCAAAAACCAACAGCACATCGCTTCAGGTTGGACCGCACTGGCGAACGACACATCGCTTCGGACGGACCTCGGCGCGGGACGAGACAGCGCCTTGGCGCCTAAGCTGCGGCCCAAGCGGAGGCCAATCTCATGGAGCACCTGGCCGGAGATGACAGTTCAACTTTCCGTGGAAAGCACCGCTTTCCGATGCAACTGGAGATGAAGAGATGGAGTGATGACAGTTCAAGGGGCGTTTGGGGGTCTGTCCATTCTTGATTCACCAATCAGGTGTGGATGTTGAGATGTCTTCAGTACGTTTCTGCCTGCGTCGAATGCCGCAATGCCCATGTTTGAGTCAAGTCCCTTTCTGAATGGAGTGACGTTGAAGAACCAGCACAAGCAGTTGGACGATGAATCAGCAAGTTCACCAACAGGTTGAATAAGCAAGCAAATTTACATGGTAACCAACCAAATTTAGACCTATATAGCCCAGACTAAGAGTCTACTTCTGGGTCGAATCCGCATTTGGATCGATGTTACAATGTTTCAGGCACATGTCAAGCACATTGAGTCCCTATGAAGTCCATGTCAAAGCTCGGCTCTGCATGCCGTGAACCCCTCGTCCACATGGAGTCCATCTGCGCCTGGTAGCTTCCCCTCGTGTGCGGATACCACGAGGCTGCGCGCACGAAGGGCGTACAAGTCACCGCCTGGCGGAAGTGGCAGGTGACGTGTCATCTGGAGCAAAAGTTGATGTTACATCTTCCGATTGAAGGGTGAATTGAATGGTCAATGTTGATCATTGCATGTTGATCATTTTACTTGTTCAGTTCAAGTCCAGAACTGAGGCCGATTGCAAGTTTGAGGCCGATCTTTTGAGGACGGGTCCACCGACCGGCTGACCCGGCGGGCGGAGAAGGTATGGGCGGGCGGAGAAGGACGGGCGGGCGGAGAAGGCCATCAAAGGATTTGTTTGTCTTTCAGTTGATTGGATATCTATCTTATCTAAGGCCTAGATAAGATCGATATACGACCAACCAGTCAATCAACCAACCGATCAATTACCAGCTGTGTGGAATTTTGGCCGAAACACTTAAAGGGCCACAGAGAAACAACACAATTCAACTGTCACATGTTCACCGAAACCACTTGTTCACTGAAAAACACCAATACTTCTTACACCACCCATACACCTGAACACCACCGTGTTTGTCTTTTTGTCCCTTAACCTCTTCTTCTATTGGACCTTACGTGCGCTGAACCGCCCGTGTACCTCCAATCGCATCAATCTATTTCCATCCTTTCTGAACTTCTCTTCAAGCCAACTTGTTACTAGTAGTAATGCCTTATAATGCCTTCGTCACTAGTAGCGATGCCCTTTGCTACTAGTAGCAAACATTGCTCCCAGTAAGGTCAGGAGCGCCCCGTTCGGTTCGCGTCCCATCGCTCCGTTCCCGATGCCCAACCGTTACTAGCAGCGATGCGTGATCAATCCCAACCGGGAAGAAAGCCCATCTCCGTACGGCCTCGGAGGTGCCCAAGACCTCGACCGCCCCGTCGGGCGCCACTTGGAAGTGCCTCGCGGCGGGTGCCACGTGTTTTTCGAGGTGAAGACAAACGTACAGCATTGGATGGTCTTTCTGGTGATTGAGAGGATCCAGGGATATGCCAACTGCTGGTGGGGATTAAGCATGAATAAGCCAACAATAAGCCAATAATAAGTATTATATATAGATAGAGGCCATCATGGGCAATCAGTTATACTCCGACCGAATGGCTGGGAGGATCTGGGAGGTGCGTTCATCGTCATTCTTCCACCACATCCAGCTAGGCTGCATGCCCATGAGTACCACAAGCAATAGTATATACCCATATATAATAGTGCCATACGAATGCCTTTTGAGGCAGAATCACCCAGTCGTCAAAAAGGCCATTGCAAAAAGGCTGCTCATGTCGCCAGAATAGGATGACTCTGGGGGATTAGCCAATCGATCTGCTGCAACAGCACTGCAAAAGGGGCATCTGACATGAAGGATGAAGCACTGCAAGAATTCATGCTTACTGGGCCCATGAACCTCTTTGTGGGAGTCAAAGGTTCACACCTCGTGACCCGACAGGTCACTTGGACTCAGTTGGACCTCCATTTTACGGGAGTTGATCATACAAAAACAGCATACTCAAAGGACCACGTCTTGACCTTGGTGAGACTGGACCTGTGGGCAGGTCTCCTCTGCCGACGAACATCCCGAGGCCGTGACACACTCGTCTGGGAGATCATGTTCTCCGGCACAGCCTGTGCAGATTGCTGAGCCATCACGTTAACATTCCAAGCGCATTTTTTCGGAGGTGCGTGTGTAAAAGCACAATTTCTCAGCAAGCGGGTTGTGCAAGGAGATAGAATAATATATGAATATATGATTTTGTTCCTTTTTGGACACCCCTGGCCCCTGTTCAGCACGGAGCACCTTATTACAGCGGACCCAAATCCTGCAAGACAAAACAAATCATCATTGCTTCAACCAAAAGCTGATGCATGAAGCAGAACATCTCAAAGGGTCCCATTCTTTCGCATCAAAACACGTCTCCAGCTCCGCACGTCGCTGCTTCACACCAATACAAGTCCCTCGCACAGACAGGGCCCGGTCAGTTTCCACCTCTCTCACATGGCGAAGCGATGACGAAGCTTCTTACTCCGTTCGCAGCGATGCCCTTTGTTCCTAGTAGCATCCTTGCTCCGGTCGTAGTAATGCCAGGGTCGCCCCGTTCGTAGCGTCTTTGCTCCGTTCGAAGCGATGGCCTTTGTTCCTAGTAGCATCCTTGCTCCTAGTAATAATGCCAGGAGCCCCGTTCGTAGCGTCCTTGCTCCTAGAAGCCATGCCAGGAGCCCCTAGTAGCTTCTTGTTCCTAGTAGTAAGGCCAGG